AGGGAGATAGGGAAAAAGGGGGCAGAGGGAAAGCAGGGGGAGGGGGAGAGAGAGAGAGGAACAGAGGGAGAAGAAGAGAGGAGAGGGGACAGGGAAGGGGGAGAGGGGAGGGAGAGAGGGAGAGAAGGAGAGATGGAGGGAGGGAGGGAGGGAGGGAGGGAGAGAGAGACAGAGGGAGGAAAGGAAGTTGAGGACACGAAACACAAGAGCAAATCAGTCAGTGTTTGAGAGGTGAATGAAAAAAGAATGAGAAACTGTAATTAGAAGATAAAAGTTAATACACTTCAAGAAATAAAACTTCAAGAAAGAAAAGGTAAGCTTAAAAATATATCTAGGAATACAAAACAAACTCTATAATGAGGACTGAAACCAGTACCTTTCATCATTTCAGAGGGACAATGTCTGTCAACCTGAATATGTCTCAAAGACATCACCCAAGAAAGCAGGTGAAATGAGACTTCCAAACAGAAACAGAGCTTCCTACCAGTGGTCCCCTCCCTGAGAGAGATGCTACAGGATGTGCCTCAGGTGGAGGAGGGTGACTCCAAGGAAAAGCTGAGACACAGGGACAGAGGGAGAGGAAGGGGGGTGGCACTCACAACACCGCAGAGAAGCCCTGGGGAGAAGAGAGACTCAAGCAACGTCCTTTTCCTAGTGACATGGACCCCCTGACTAGGGAAACAATTCCTATGTGGCATGAACAGGGGAAAATACAGAGAGCCAAATACGGTCCCGATGCCCCCAAAGTATCCTCCTAGGCAGATCAAGTTTCTGCCTTCATGGAGCCTATATTCTAGTAAGGTTCCAAATAAACCATTGCAAACACACAATTTCAGACTCAGCTAATATTTGTGAAACAGGATAAAAGAAAATACAAAAGTGAGGTACGGCAGTAGTGGCATCAGACAGCAGACGGGTCAGAGAATGCTGGGGGCTGGCCTCACGCGCTACTGCTCTGCTCGGAGAGATGGTAAACTGAGCAACACAGAACAGGTCTTTGTAGAGTGGGAAGGGGCAGAACGAGAAAACTCACTGGGAAGGACTGTGCGTCTGAGCCATCCCAGGAACTCAGAGTTGAGACCGGACCCAAGGCTGCAAGGCTCTGAAATCAATCCTTGATGAAACAGAAGACAGTGAGAGTCAAAGAATCAGAAGCAGTCCACTCAAGGCCACAGTGTGGATAGCGTAGTGTGAAAACCTTTTTCTACATCATGTATGAGGAAGCTTCCACAAATAACAAAGTCAATAGCCAAGCAACTGACCACAGGGGTTTTGGAATCTAAATCCACCTCTAAAAGTCAGTGTCCCTGGGAGGCCCCTGCAGACTGATCTCCTGTTCTGACACAGCAGGTGGCGACTCAAGTCAGAACCCATCATATTTTTTCAGGTGAGTCCTGACATCCTCATGCCCAGGATCCAGGTTTTCACGCCTGGAGGACACAATGAGCCCCCAGTTTGGCCCCTTGTCCACCCTGACCCCAAGAGGTGTGTTCCTAGGGAGAGGGTTGGGAGACATACACACAGCACAGGCGGTCCAGCCATGTTCTAGGCCACCCCAGCGGAGTAGTCAGACATGGGCACCTCAGGTGCACAACACTCAAACACAGTACCCAGTCACAGCAAGAGACAATGACCTAACAGTTCTCTAGGAGGAATTCCTTGATGAGCCAGGTACAGAAAGACCCTTCATGACCTCATGCCTATGAAATCTAAAAATGAAGCTCTTGTAGAAGTTGCAAATAAAAGGGTGGTTATTGAGAGCTGGGGAGAGGGAGCAGTGGGGGAGGCTGGTCAGTGATAAGGAGCAGGACAGATGCTGATGTGCTACTGCCTCGCAGGGGTGACACACAGAGCATCATGTGTTAGTGCTGTCTCCAAAAGCTACAAGCAAGGGTCTGGGACAATCTACTACAAACATGATGTTTCGGGGCACAGCTATGGGCACACTGATTCAGACGTCACATGGTACACCTCACCCATTCATATAATTTTATCTTTTATGCATCAGTTAAAATACATTTACTTTGAATTTAAGGAATATTATCTCCCCAAATTTTATGAATAATTTTTAGACGAACAGGAAAAAATAAAACCCATTCCTTGTTTTCAGCCCTAACCGTCTTTAAATGCAGTGTCTGCGTTTGGAAGTGGTAGTGAAGTCTGCATGATGCACTTTAACACACATTCCTGTCTCCTTTGACAGGAACCAGTAGGGGTGCTCGGTAAGCAAGATCCACACCCCACAAGAGCTCCAGGGTAACATACACATCCTTACAACATGGCTGTAGACAGTAAGAGATCAGTTACGAGGCAAATCACTCAGCTGCTATTTTATACTTTCTTTCCATTGTTGAATTATTCAGAAATAGTACGGTAAAAAGTCTAGGGACACTGTTTTCAGTATTTCTATTAATATGCTCTGTAACATCAATGCTATATGTATTTTAGTTACTCAAGGATATGGGAGTCACACTGCAAAAACACATCCCAAATCTCAAAGAGCACTGCCGAGCTCAGAAAAGCAGAAACCGTATCAAATCAATTTACAACTTAGGTTATAAATATAAGTATTCGTGAGTAAGATTGTTCCAATGGCACAGCAATCAGCTGTCAATGACTGGACACCTTGAGATACCTGTGAAGGTGGCTGTGTGCTGCACCTGACCGTGGGCTGTGCCACGCACACTAGATCGGAGGTGAAGGAACAGCCACGGCCACAGAGGTGGAGGCCAGGGACCCAGGCTTAGTAACCCGACCCTTGTGCTTTTAACAGAGCTGGTTTTAGAGCCCTAGAAAATCACAGTGCTAACCTGTTCTTACTTCACTCCACCGTGGGTCCAGTGGCGAGAGGACATGGGTTCTCTCTACATGGCTTCCCAGCCCACAGCGTTGAAAGAACTTTTGCACAAAATACACATTCTAGAAATATAATCCAGGATACAGGATACTATCAATAGCTGATTGCAAGGTGTTAAGCCTAAATGCTATTGTGCCATTAAGACTGGTAATAACCACATATAGAAACAAAATAAAGTAAGAATTTAATGTGCTTAACTAAGACATGCCCGTTGTTTGCAATACAGTCGGGTTTTTTGGAAAGCATGTGGCACTTCCTATCTAGAGCACTAAAGTCTAAATATAGATACTTACATTATTGCACTCTCCGAGGAAATACAGTGCAAATCCGTCAGCTTTTGTGGCTGCCAAAGTAATAAAAACAAAAGAAAGAAACTGATCTCAATGGAAGAATCTAACACGCAGCAGTTCAGACATGGGACTCGGCTATGAGCCTTCTGCGTGGACTTCTCAACATAGCCAGTGCTCATTCAGAAAAGGAACAGCGGTCTGTAGATCTGCCTCGCGGCGGCATTAGATTTCAAACATTTTCACCTTGACTACAAATTTTACGGTGACATTCTCTAATGCACACTGCAGGCCACACACTGCATAACAATGCATCTGTCAGGCCTTAAATACTCACAACGACCGAGGGGTATTTGTGAAATTAGAGAACAGCGTTTAAATTTTTAAGTATTTTTTAAAAAACCCAGAATATTTAATAATTAAATATGTACCAGCCAAAAAACACTGTATAAAAATACACATAGCCACTGACATGAACAGAATTTAACTTACAAAGAAATGTATTCAGGGACATTTGAAGGCAATTATCCTAACTACATAAAACATAAATCTTGGGCAGAGGGAAATCGCCCACATTTAAACTCTCATGTAACTCCCTTGGGCCTGTGCGTCTTTGGGGAGGGATTTAACCTTGCTCACACACAGCCTCCTGATATCAGTAGGATAGTGGTAACCCCAAACTCCTTCTTGAGCTTCTGTAGGTCAGACATCCGCAGCATAAAGATGTGTCTGCACAAGGCCACGTCCAGAACAAAGACCACCCCTGAGCTCATATCAGGAGGATTTTTTTTCTCAAATAAAAACCTGAAAGACCCAATTGTCGCAGTGGGAGTTCTAAAACACCATGTCCGAAAACATGCATCTCTGGGGTTGGGGACTTAGCTCAGTGGTACAGTGCTTGCCTAGCAAGCACAAGGCCCTTGGTTTGACCCTTAGCTCTGGGAAAATAAAAAAGAAAGACAAAATAACAAAAAGATCCCCCCCAAAACAAGGCAGCTAGCACATGGGGTTGGAGAGAGGGCTGCGGTTAAGAACACTGGCTGTTCTTGCAGAAGACCCAGGTTCGAATCCCAGCACCCACATGGTAGCTAACAACTGCCTGTAACTCCAGTTCCAATGGATCTGACGCCCTCTTCTGACCACCACAGGCATTACATGACACAAGTGCACTTAGCAATACATGCATACACATAAAATAAATAAAAATAAAATATCTTAAAAAACGTGCGTCTCTCAGAAAGTCACTTTTATGATGCCACTGTCTCTGTTCTGTCTATAATGCAAGTCATTTCTGGCACAGCACACAAAAATGTCACCTTCCCAAACAAATTTAAAATACTTGTCATCCTCAAAAATTAACACCTTCCTCTATAAAGATGCAATTTAATTCAATATACCTGTGCTTTCCGAGAAAACTAGGCATTAACTAAAGGCATGGGTGTCCTACTTATGCACCGAGCACATACTTATTTGCTATCAGAGAATTTAGACATTTTTAGGCTTATTCATTCTGGCAGTTTCAGAATCATTTTGGGGGGGGGTGCTTCAGAATGAGCCCAGCAATAGAAATGAGTAAACAATTTTCCTCTCCCTCCTAGTGAGCCAGAAACATTCTTCTGCTTTTTCACAACACAAGCAGAGCATCTGGGTCTGATTCTTTCATGCGAACAGGGTGCGTCTTACCTATCTTGATGATGCTGCTCAGCTCGTAGAGGAGCAGGTGGTTGTCGCCACCCGTGTCCAGGCGCTGCTCTATGTAGCTGTTTAACTCATATACGACTCCCTGCATATTTGTATCTTGGTACTTTAAATAAAAATAACAAAAATAAAGGACACAGTTAAAAATATAATAACATTCCGTCATTTATAAAGCATACTGTACATTTACATATGTATAAAACGTCACACTCCGGTTAATTATTATATAGTTTCCATGGAGCACAATTAAATGTTATAACCCATTTGCAAATCAAGTAGATTGAAATGAAAATCGCTGTGACTCCTTATTCAGAATGACCCTTAAACTGCATCTGTGGTAACTTCTTTATATGAAAACATCAAATGTTATAAACTTCAACTTTACTTCTGTATTTTTACACATGGCAACTGGACTGGTTACAAGAGTTCAAACACTGCCTGGGGAAACATGACACCAGGCTAGAAAATCCTCTAAAGAAGCCTGGATGACTCTGGTTCCGGTGAGCTCTGTCCCCTCCCTGTGGTCCAGAGCAGGACTGAGCACTTTGCCCTAAGGCTGGACCCACACCAGGCCCCAGCACCACATGTACCACTGACCAGAGGGGTCTTCTCCTGACCCCACCCCAGTCAATCCACACTGTCTCTTCTCTAAAGGAATGAAGTCAGAGCTTCTCATGAATGTCCCTACTCCCAAGCTTGCCCTACAAACCCTATTTTCCAAAGAGCAAGCACTGTAATCTAAAAATAAAACAAAATTCGCTTACTCCTTAGCTTCAAATCTTCCTGTCTTTGGCACAGCAAACATATCAGTGTGGTAGTGGCACTTTTATCTTGAGGATAATCAACAGCTAACCAGAGTTAAAGCCCTCTCAGTGGGAGGGAACTCATGTATGGTACTGCAAAAGCCAAACATACATGACTGGAGAGATCATACAGCCTAGAGAAATCTGTGTCACATCCCTAGACAAATGTAATTTCTTACTGTATGCTAAATATGGATCCTTATATTTACAGACAAGTATGCCAGTCACCACTCATCAAAGAAGCTTCTTTTTGCAATGGACGGAGACTATTACCGAATTCTACAACTGGTCACACACAGAGAATAAGTGTCTGTGAGATGCCCAGCCCTAAGTGACACATCTTCAATGGAACCTCTACACCTAAGCCTCAGGGAACATAGTGGAACAGGGGTAGAGAGAATATTAATGCATCTCTCAACTCTCATCAACAAAGCTTCCTCCTGCAACAGAGAGCCATGAACACAGAAGACCAAAACTGGCCAAAGTGTAGAGAATAAGAGACTGCAGCGTTCATGTCCCTGGATAGGACTCCTGTATTAAGCCTCACCCACCCAAGACTCAGGGACCATTGGAAGAGGGGGCGGAATGATTGTAAGAGCCAGGGGTGGTGCAAGATCACAAGGAAATACAGTTTTACAGGTTCCTGGGACCTTGCTCATAGGAACTCACAGCAGTGCTGACAGCGTGCACAGACCCATGCAAACTCCATCAGACAAAAACCAGCACAGAGCTGGGGAGATGGGCAGGAGGCCTCGACCTTAACCAAGGAATCACTGGCAGCTGATCACTGCTGGGTGAGGGAGGGAGAGTTGGTCTTCTTTAAGGGAGTGATGCTAGACAGGCTGAACAGCTCCAGTGGATGAACTCACAGCAAGGGACATCTGGGGACACAAACTTGACTCGGTAGGCCTTAACATATATGAAAGAATGCATGAAATCTGGCGGGGGTGGGGCTATGAGGGGTACAGATGGGGAAGGGGGTCTAAATATGATTAAGATATGTTGCATGAAATGCACAAAAATTCAATAAAAATATATACATTAAAAGATCTTCCTGGTCTTCCCACTACGCAGGATGACAGACAAACCCTTCCTGCACCATCAAACATGGTCACTGTCCACTTCGGAAACTTGGTCTCTTCCTCTCAGGGCCTCAAGCATGGGTCACGTCTCTTGTTCTGGGTCACTCTGACACCTTTCCATCCTAAAGACCTGCTACTTGCTATCCAAGTGCCACATATAACACCCATCAGTCAGCCACCTGACCAGTACACCCTGACTGTCCTGACCACCCAGTCAATGGTCCCTCTTCTGGGCACTGCAAAGCCCAAGCCTGCCTGGCCCTCATGGAACTCACCCTCTAGCCAGAGAATGTCAGTGAGGAAGTGAGTCCACGCCTCCTCTAGATGCACAGTGAGAGTCCAAGGTCAGTGTGCCTACACTGTTCCCCAAAGCGCACGCAGGGGATGTAAGAGCTTTCCTTATAGTCATGAACAGCAGGGCTGGCGTGCCATAGGGAGCTGATGGCAGAGACCTGACTGACCCCCCAGCCACAGCTTGTGGCTCTGTCATCAAGGCCCTGGCCTTAGTGTAAGCCCAGGGAGGCTGCCGGCAGACTGTTTCCCTGACCTCTCACAGAAGATGGTATTCAGGGCTGGAGAGCAGCTGAGCGGTCAAGAGTACTGGCTTCTCTTCCAGACGACCTGGGCTGGATTTCTAGCACTGATGTGTTTCAAAACCACCTGAAACTCCAGCTCTAGGGAATCTGATACCCTTTTCTGGCCTCCTCAGGCACTGCAATCATGTAACATATACACACACACTGACAGACACATAGAGACACACGAACACATAAATAAAATTTAAAAAGATGGAATCTCGGGATGGCAGGGGCTAAAAGGCTGCACTTGGTGTCACACCAGTGCTGCCCCAGCAGGACCCGCTCTACTGAGCGCTGTAGTGCTGACCGCCATGGAATCCGGTGTCCCCACCATACCACTGGGCAGCCCTCTAACATGTGCTTTCATTTGGCTAACCAAAAAGGCTCTGTGTATGTGCACAGAGGTCTAACCTGGTCAGCACAGCGGACTGTCAGAATGCCCTCATGAACACTCAGGAAAGCTAGTTCAGGCCCTGAACCTTTTAAACCAAGAATGACAGGCCAGGCCAGGTGGACCAAGGGCCTTATTCACGATAAAAACATAAAGCAGACCTTTCCTCCTGCCTTCTCCAGAAACCTGCAGGCATCTGCCTTGAGAACTGCGCACAAAGAAGTTACCGAAACTGGAAGACACTGGATATCAGCTCCATGCTGACCTCAGGCTGCCACAGCCACACTGTGACATTATGGCTTAGATTCCGTCTCACAAGCACATCACCATTATTTCCCAGTTTCCTAACCTGGGACTCTTTCCAGGTCCCTGTCGGCACAAGCAGCAGCCTAACAACAGCACCTGCACAGAAGTGGCCAGCCGCGCGAATCCGGGTGCCTCCACCTGTGCCAGCTGCGGCCCCTGCAGATTACAGAGGCCTGTGCAGATTCAGAGCCCCAGAAGCCTTCAGGCCTGAAGATCTCCTCTAGACATTTCCTGGTTTCTTTATCTTGTGTGGGGTTTTTTTGTTGTTTGTGTGTGTCTGGGTTTGTGTATATGTCTGTGTCATGTGTCTGCGTGTGTGTCTGTGTCATGTGTCTGCATGTGTGTCTGCGTGTGCCTGCATGCTGGGAACTGAACAAGGAATTTCATGCTTACCATACAAGCCGTCTACCGCTGAGCTAAATCTCTGGCCCTTGGACCCTACTCTTCCATGAGCACACATTCTCTGGCAACTCCTTCCCCACAGTCCAGAAGTAATCCTTCAATGGCGGTCTGTGCCCTGCCCCTGATGTTGGGACTGGAGAGATGACTCAGTGGCTAAGAGCACTGGCTGCTCCTGCAGAAGACCTGGGTTTGATTCCCAGCACCCACACAGTGGTTAACATACAGTCTGTAACTCCAGTTCCAGGGGATCTGACGTCTTCTTCTGGCCTCCCGGGCATTGCACAACACGGATGCACTTACATATGTGCAGGCAATATACTCAGGCACATAAAATAAAATAATAAAGTAAATTAATGTCAACGATGCTGTGTTCAGAGTCACTAATCATCAGGGGGATGTAAAGTAAACCCATAAAATGCCACTTACACACCAGTAAGAGCAGTGATTGTCAAAAAGAAACGTTACAGATTCCAAGCAGGATGTGGGGGAAGAGCCTCTGTGCTCTGATGGTGACTGAGGACATCAGAGCTGCCATTACAGAGATCAGTATGGGCATTCTTCAAATAATTACAAGCTGAACCAGCATACAACCCAGAGATCTCTCTTCTGAGTAGATCCTCAAGGGAACAGCATCGGTCTGCTGCAGAGCCATCTGCACCCACAGCCGCTGCACAGTATTCACAGAAAAGTAGAAAAGCCCAAGTGTCTGTCAACGGATGACCTGGCAAGGTGTGTGCTCACAGCTCTCAGAAACAAGTCATTCAGAAACTCCCAGAACGCAGCCACAGGTCATTACCAATGTCACAGAAACCCCTCGTTTTAAGGGTGTCATTGTGAGGCCTCCTCTGACTACTAGATCACACAAAGATCAAAACAAGGGAAAGCTGAACTTACGATGGGTCCAGGAAGCTGCAACCACTGCATCCCCTAAACCTCAAGCCAATTGTGCCCAAATGTCAAGACCAACAAAATGCAACTGAAAGGGGCCACTCAGGGTTCCCTTCAAGTCCCCTTCCGAGAGCAGCGCTGTCTCCTAAGGTGGACCACCGCGTCCTGGGAAAGCAACGGCGGCACACCAGCACGCTAAGCAGAAGCAAGACGGCCACTCTCCGAGCGAGGCTGCACGAACGTGAAGGCCAGACAGTGAATCTGGACTCCAGCTCAGACACCTGTCCCCATCCTCCCAAAGCCCCACAGCTCAGGGACCCTCCATCTCTCAACAGAGATGCGGGAAAACCAGCCTCCAATAGCTCAGCAGCCTTCAAGGGTAAAAGTCAGTGGGAAAAGATACGAAACGACCCCCAGCACACATAACTACATGACAAAGGCTCTTTAAAAAGTCTACCCAGCTACCCAAAGTGTGAGTGACACCTCAGCATACACGGGATGATCGCTTTTCACGTGAGGAAGGAGAAAGCATTTGTTTTGCCCTCTCAAGAGAATCCAAAAGCCATGACCCATGCTTCAGAGCTCAGAGTTCGCGAGGTGGGCAGTGAACTTGAAGGTTCTAAAAGGAGTTCTGGAGAAAGAGAGGGGACCAGAGAGGATACCAGAATCACGGTGAGTCAAGACAACAGACAGATGGTAGGAACTGACGGACCAGGGGGAGGGCAAATGTGTCCCAGGCTTTCAGCATGGACAGGAAAGTCAACCAAGTTTCAAAGAGCACAGTCAGTGTAGTGAATCCAAGCCAGCAACAGACTTTTATAAATATTCAGAAAAAAGAGACTGGAGAGATGGCTGTTCTTGTATAAGACCGAGTTCAAATCCCAGCAACACATGGGGGCTAACAACAGTCCATAACACCAGTTCCAGGGGATCTGATGCCCTTTTCTGTCCTCCTTGGGCACTGCATGACACGGGTGTACTTACACACATGCAGGGATAACATTCATACACATAAAAATAAATTTTGAAAGAGTAAATATTCAGAAAAGGATCAGCACCTAGAGAAGAAAACATCAAAGGGACTCAGAGTTCTCCACGGTCTGATTTCTGCAAGTAACAGAGAACACCGACAGCCTTCAAGGCTCCCAGGCCTTCCTATAGTGCAGAGCCTTCTAGCAACTCAGAGTCTGGAGGCTCTGATTATTCTGATGTCCGCTTTCCTGGTCTTGTTCGGACATCTAAGTATAAGGTGGAGCTGTCTAACAACCACACCACTGTAACATCCAGAAGTAAAGACAGGAACAGGGTTGATAATTAAAATGTGACTGATCCTGCATCCCTCATGTCTCCCTGCCCAGCCTTCCCTCAGCTCCTGGCTGCTCTGTGGCAGTACCATGCAGTCTCCTGCCTCAGAGCTCTGCCGTCTCTGTGCCCTCTGCCGGGCTGCTCTTCCACAGACAGTTCCTGCAGGCTTTTCTGTGACTGTGTCCGTAGTGAGCCTTTCCTGGCTGCACACTCACCCCAAGCCATCCCTATCTCACTCTGCCTGGGCTACAGCACTGTTCCTACTGAACATATATGTGTGTTCTTCATCTGTGAGCACCAATTCCATCCCACAGGATGCAAATGTCACAAGGGATTTCTGTCTGGTCTCTTCTTTGATGTGTCCCGGTGCCCACAAAACAGAGGCTAAGTTAATAATTATTGACTAAATGGTGATGATGTCCGATTAGAAAAATATGCCAAAGCGGTCAAAATATACTGGTTTTAACAAAAGATTTGACACTGTCACATTAATCACACAAGTGATATTCCTACATATAATATTTTCTCAGGAGATAAATTTTGGAAAGAGGGCAGAGCCCAACAACTTGCAAAAAAGTATTCAAATGTGTGGCCTCGGGCTATAGAGCCATAGATAAGGTGTTAGATGCCAGAAGTAAAATCATTTCAATGGGTGAGGGCCAAGGCATCTCGAAATCGGATGTGCTGTTTGCAGGTGAAAGCCAAAACAAAGCAGGCTGACAGGCCTTCAGGTTTCTACCATGACAGTCTTCACCTTCTTTGTTGACCTGACCTCAGAATCCCGAGTTGTCAGATCTCTGCCCTCTGCAAACACCCCATGGGACACACTTCCCAACACTGATCCCACCTGTGAACTTCCCGAGTGGGACCCTGCAAACGTGTCTTCTAAACACCTCCAACTCCCACGTGATTAGTCAGAGGTAATGCGCAACACCAGCAGCGGGATTTCTCCCTCCTCCTGTGCTCTTGTCCACCATGTAAAGGAAATCTTTGATCTACCAGATACTGAGACCAAAAGGCTGGAGGGCTCCTGAGCACTCCTCACAGCCCTTGGGAAAGGCCATGAAGCTCCCCTTGGCTAAGGCACAGACCTCTGCTGCTCCCCACTAACACCGGCCTGATCTCAGAGGGCCTCTCAGATGCCCACCACCCCTCCAGCCACCCACTCTGTCCAGACACACTGTCCCTCCTCCTGTTGACTGAGTTTTACTATCTTCACACCCCTGCCTAAATGTCAGCTTACAGACTAAGCCTCTCCTGACCACTATTTATGTATAACACTGCCCCCGTCCACCCTAGCTCACTAGTCCTTTATTCAGCTTGATTCCTTTACACATTTATCACAACATTTCACTGCCTGACGCAGATGTGCATGTGTGTGTACATACACACATACACACACACACACACACACACACACACACACACAGACATTTCCTTATCTCCAGTTGCCTCTATCTCCTTCCAGCCTTTGAGGTCCACAATGCCGTCTGTGTTGCTCACCCCCTGCAGTCCCAGCCTCTCAGAATATGCCCAGCATCCAAAGTGATTGTTTATCAATGGAACAGAAAGAAAAGAGAAGGTGAAGGTGGAGGGAGGGAGGAAGGAAATCTCAGGACAAAGACAGGAGGGAGATTTAAGACATTCAGATTTAACTTGACCTCAAAGGGAAAAAATAGTAGATTCCTAAAAGTTCAACAACCAGACAGGCTCTAAGATTTCTCTAAAGTGTGAGTTGTCTCTTAGAACTGAAGTGATAGTACATAGCTTCCAAGCCACAGTAACTTACAGAGTGTGTTTGAACAGAAGACCTATGGCTACTCACTGTCTATCAAAAGGTGGCCCTAGATGTTTCTAAGCTTAACTTAAAACAGTTAAGTTTTAAATTAAAATCAAATTCTGAGTATTGGTCAATAAGCATTGATTAAGATATGGGGTGTTGGGAGCCGGCAAGATGCTCGACAGCTAAGACCACCGGCTGCTTTTGCAGAGGACCCGGGTTCAGTTCCCAGGACCCACGCAGCAGCTAACAACAGTCTGCAACTCTAGTCCCAGGGGCTCCTACGCCCTTTCCTGATCTCTGCGGGCACTGCATGCAAATAGTGAACTTACATACATGCAGACAAAACGTTCATATACATAACATAAAAATTAAAATAAACAAAAAGAATATTTTAAAAAACATACGGGATCTACTCAGGAAGGACTTGGTACCTGTCAGAGACACACTTCCTCAACTGGTTTCAGTTTGCTTCTGGTGACCTTAAACATACCACGAGGTGTCACCAGCAGCACCATCTGAACACATGCACCTCTTCTCTCTGCTCTGGAGACAAGGCCTCAGCAGTCAGAGAGGGTGAGCACTGTTACTACAAGACTCCCAGAGGCAGTGTGGCCCTCCTGCATACAGACGCATATAAAGTAATGTCTATTCTTCATCCGTGTAATTATTCTCCCCGAATACAATATGGTTTATATTTGAAGGACTGGGGTGCAAAGTCAAAATCGGCTATGAGACTATGGTGTGCATCCTTTATATTCTGGGATGCTGGAAGCTAAGGGGTGGAAGAAGTTCATGTGCTCAGTATGAGCACGTGTCAGGGGCACGCATCTCCTCATCACTGTGAGAGAACAGGAGGGAAGTAGAGTTGAAACCATCTCTTTGAGGCGTTCCTTTTCTTTCTCCCTCAAAAATAACAGCAAAGTCTAAAATCAGTCCAAGGTCTGTTGTAAAAGTTCATCCGAAGTTAAGTCATTCCCTAGACATGCAGTCGGTCAGTTCTGTCCACCGCAGGACGGCAGACGAGCGGACTGCAGTTTTCTTTCCCCTGTGCAGCATCAGAAACCTGACACAGCAGCCAACACCAGCACCCCGACAGTTCATGATGGTCTGTCCAAGTTCCCTTGTCAGAACCCCCCATTTTGCCCCACACCACTTTCTGGTTCTCACCGCAGACACCAACGCTCTCAGCATGACTTCCTACACCAGACTGGGCCAGACGCAATTCAAACTGTGTTCAATACTTAATCTGTGTTTAAGGCTCTTATCTATATATAGGAAACAAAAGATACTTCTGTCTTCTGAAATTTCTTGTGACTTTGCAGTATCAAACATGGTATACCACATACTTTCAGAACTTATCCCCCCAAGGAATGTGTGTATCATATATGTGTGTGTTTGTGTAGTTGGGTACATGTGTATAGTATATGCGTGTGTGCGTGTGTTTGTATAGTTGGGTACATGTGGAGGTGACAGGCCGGTGATGGGTGCATTTCTCAATCTCTCTCCACCTTAGAGACAGGCTCTTTCACTGACCCCTGTACTCACCAACTCTCAGTTAGGCCGACCGGCCAGTGAGTTCCCAGGATCCCCCTCCCTTCTCCCCACACAGCACTAGTGTTACAGATGTGCATTGCCATGCCTGGCTTTAATTTTGATGAGCGTGCTGGGGATCTGAACTCAGGCCCTTATGCCTGGCCTGAAGGCACTTTGCTGAGTCAGCTGCCTCCCCAGTCTATGTCCCCAACTCACTAAATTTGCCAAGCCCCCAACACAAACATCCATCTAGGAGATGCTGACACAGAACACGCCTCACATAGCTGAGCAGTGTCCTGCTTCGCCACGTGAATCATCAGTCTTGTTCCCACAAAGAAGGTGGCTGAGCTGAAAGCCGGGAATGTTGACAGACACCGGAGGGAAGCCAGCTCAGTTGGGAGCTGTGTGTCCTACAGAGCACAGACTGTCCGCGTGGCCTCTGTGCTTAGACGTGGCAGATCAGATCCCTACCTTGTGGGAACACTGGACTGGTGCTGCCTCCATGAATTCCTCTAAGAATCGAAGTCCAGCCTTTATTTGCAGGGTCTGTTTCTAACTGCTGATCACTGATACTTTTAAACCCCATGAGTGTGTGCAGGCCACAATCACTGCGTCTGCTTCCACTAGTCCTGAGGCCTCTAATCCGCTAATTCTGCACTGACTGCCTGGGTGACACTCTGGAAGGGGCACGCAGTTTGTGCTCTGTTTTTTTTTCACACTGTAACATGTTAAGAGCACTAGGAATATTCACGGGAAGGGGCGTCTTGCCTCCAGTCCTGGGGTGGTGTCCTGGAAATGGCATTTACGCGCTACTCACCCTGCTGACTTCCTTTTTTTTTTCACACTGTAACATGTTAAGAGCACTAGGAATATTCACGGGAAGGAGCGTCTTGCCTCCAGTCCTGGGGTGGTGTCCCGGAAATGGCATTTACGCGCTACTCACCCTGCTGACTTCCTTCGGAGCCGATTCATCTGAGGACAGAGAAGGAGAGAGACACAGTTAGAATCCCGGAAGTCTCTGAGACGCAGCACAAGTGTTCGTTCTCAACACACTTCTGCAGAGCTTCCTCCTAGGAAGTCTTAGGATCTGATTTTAAAGGCTGCAAAGGTTAAACATAACACAGTGAGAGAATAAACTGGGAGTGACTAAATAGCACCACAGCAACCTGCTGTGCGGATTACATTTCTAAGAGTCTACAATGGAAATACAGGCACAGTGACGTAGATTCCGGGGTTCCAACACTGCAAGATGGTAATGATGCAGCCCCAGGAATGTCCCATCAATACTTCTGTGCTAAGGGGCCATCCCAGCAGACTCAGCAGTGCCTGGCCCCTTTGCTGAATTTGTAAATACCCCACACACAGCACCCTGGCTGGAGGAAGCCGTGCACAAGCCAAAAGGACCCAATATTCTGAGCCCAAGTTCCACAGTGCCATTACTGGTGAAATGATAGTGAGGGCCGTCCCCTGGTCTAAGCAAGACCCCCAAAGAGTCTGCCACTGGGGCTGCTTTTCTGAAGTAACCGCAGGTCTGCCGGCACGGTCATGTGGATCCCGCACCTTCAGCAATCAAAGCCGATGTCCAGCTCCAGTGCAGCGCACACAGGCAAAAAGAGGCCCTGGGTCCCACCTCACAAGTTCAGACAGGTCTGAGCCTCTTTATCCTTCAGTGTCCCCATTAACCCATTGCCGCTCCTGGTAGTTCCTCTCCCACTCAATATCTGCCACGGTTTCCATTGACAACACCAAGTCTAGTCCCACATCACGCTGTGCATCCTCCAGTGGTCTCCAAACTGATCTCCGAGTCCAGCATCTTCCCCAGTTATCACGCCTGCGCCTGCACCACACACATACAACACACACGCATTACATCTGCCCCCCACCACACACACATACATATAACACACACAACATATCCCCCCACACCATACATAAACATGCACAAACCCCACATATACTACACACCATACACACAGCCTTGTAAAAATAAACTAGATTCCAACACTGGTGGCATGTTGACTTGACACGGGAGCTTTAAAAGAAAATGCTAAGCTCAGAAGGTAAACACTCAATGAACAGAACCTATTTGCTGCAGCACTCCACCAGCACGCACTCCACCGGCACGCACTCCACCGGCACGCACTCCACCGGCATGCACTCCACCGGCACGCACTCCACCGGTACACACTTGCTTACGTGATTACAGCAGCTAAGGAGCGGTTTCAGTATTCATAGGACTTCTCTAAGAATGTAAGAATGTTGCAAGCAAGCTACTTTATATCTTTTTAAAAATATTTCATTTATTATTTTTTATTTTATGTATATGAGTGTATTAGCTGCATGGATGTAAGTGCACCTGTGTTGTGCAATGCCTGCGGGGTCAGAAGAGGGCCTCAGATCCTGGGACTGGAGTTACAGATGGTTGTTAGACCCCATGTGGGTGCTGGGATTGAATCCCAGTCCTCTGAAAGAGCAGCCAATGCTCTTAACTGCTGAGCCATCTCTCCAGCCCCGTCACTTTTTATATTGTTATTAATGTAACGTCATAGAACTTTTCATTGACTCATCAACTCCCATTTTATCTTTTCCTAAACCTCTCTGAAGGCAGGACTATTTAGTCATTATGACACATTTATTAACAGATCTCAAATCTATAGAGGCATGGATTATTTTATTTTTAGAATATATCTAAGAAAGTCAATGAGCATGATTTTAAAAGCAAACTGGTTAGATGCGGTACACGACCTGGGAGGCTGGGGCAGGATGTCAGGCATGAAGCCAGCCTGTGCTATACAGCAACACCTGGCTCAAAACTAACTAGCTAAATAAATAAGTAAATAGCAAGCTGTGTTACATGTAAAGGGACACAATGGAACAGAGGGCAGAACACAATGGAGAGGTTGGATGCTGTACAAGCCAGGACCCAGAACTCTCTGCCAGTCAGTGTTAGTCATCGGAAAGATAATTCAAGGGAAGGGGAGTTTCAAATTCCAGACTTCTGTTACTAAGTGTTCTTTTCACTTTCTCCATGTGCCTGGAAAATTATCTCTCAAACAGGTGTGTAGAGAAGACGTGCTGCTTGTATTTACAAATCCAACTATTTTTGGCTTTATCAGCAAATTTAAAGCATTTGAAAGAAAACATTTGCCCATAGCTAATTCTGGATTTTTCATCTTTGAACTGATTTAGAAATATTTCCTCCTCCCGCTCCTCCTCCTCCTCCCCCTCCTCTTTCCTCTGCCTCTTCTTCCTCCCCCTTCTCCTCCCCCCTCCTCCCTCTTCTTCTGAACTCAGCACTTGAACAGTTTTGCTAAATGAGCACCAGGTCTATATTCAGGGAATGCCATAGTCTGTCAAACTGAAGAGAGCATTGCATACAGTGGAACGTGCAGTGGGGACTCCTGCTTCCTATGGGCCACTCTTGGCTTCATCATTTAGTTGAATTCTGCTGCTCCAGAGAGATGGAAGGGTGCGGAAGGCAGGAGCTGTACACAGAAGTGCCCAGAGGCAGGCACAGGGCTCAGAACGAGCCTTGGAAAGCCCTGCCCTGCCGCTTTGGGCTGTGTGAAAGCTGGCAGACGGGCAGCTTAAAACATCCAAAGTAGGGACAGGAGAGATAGCTATGCAGTAAGAGCACTGGCTGCTCTTCCAGAGGGCCCAGCATCCATTCCCAGCACCCACATGGTGGCTGACAACCATCCATAATGCCAGTTCCAAGGGATCTGATGCCCTCTTCTGACCTCTGGGGTATGTCAGGGATGCACTTACATAAATGCAGGTGATACATTCATGAATAATTTTTTTAATCCAAAGGAAACACCATCCTAACAATATGAATTGTTACTGAAAAAGAACTATTTTTCCTAAAAGAGTGTAACAAAGAAGCTCCGCCCCTCATCCCTCCCTCCACACAGTCACCCTCCTCCCTCCACAGTCACCCTCATCCCTCCCTCCACACAGTCACCCTCCTCCCTCCCTCCAGTCACCCTCCTCCCTCCCCTCCACAGTCACCCTCCTCCCTCCACACAGTCACCCTCCTCCCTCCCTCCACACAGACACCCTCCTCCCTCCACACAGTCACCCTCCTCCCTCCCTCCACACAGTCACCCTCCTCCCTCCACACAGTCCCCCCCCTCCCACCCTCCAGTCCCCCCCCTCCCCCCCCCCCCCCCCGCCCCCCCCCCCCCCCCCCACACATAGCCCCCCTCCTCCCCCCCTCCACACAGACTCCCTCCTCCCTCCCCTCCACACAGTCACCCTCCTCCCTCCACACAGACACCCTCCTCCCTCCACACAGTCACCCTCATCGAGCACTGGCTGCTCTTACAGAAGGCCCGAATTCAAATCCTAGCACTCACATGGTGGCTGACAACCATCCATAATGCCAGTTCCAAGGGATCTGATGCCCTCTTCTGACCTCTGGGGTATGTCAGGGATGCACTTACATAAATGCAGGTGATACATTCATGAATAATTTTTTTAATCCAAAGGAAACACCATCCTAACAATATGAATTGTTACTGAAAAAGAACTATTTTTCCTAAAAGAGTCCTCCCTCCACACAGACACCCTCCTCCCTCCCTCCACACAGTCACCCTCCCCCCTCCACACAGACACCCCCCCCACCAGACCACAGGATTTCCAGGTTGAAGTCCTGGCTCAGCTCCACTACCAGTGATTTCCAGCAGCACTTCAGTGTTAAGTGCTGCTTGGCAGTTCCCACAGTCCACCAGCCAGGCCAGGCTCCCTTTGAATTGACAGGGTTAGGAGCACTGGAAAAGGGAGCCGGAGCAGGACGTGGATACCGGATTTCGAATTATTCATGAGCATCACACTAGCAATCCAGAGAGTCACAGCAGAGGACCCTGATTTTCGGGCGGCAGGAGAGAGAGGGCCTCTTCCAGAAACACTTGTACACTCAACATTGGTCCCGGGGAGCCTGGGCCTAGGCGCCCAGCCCCATCCTCCAGGGGCTTGAACTCCAGTGGGATGAGTAAGCAGGAAAACAAAGCCACTGCAGAACAGTCATGCCTAAGCCTGCTAAAGAGAAATTCATTTTTTTTCAGGAAAGACAACACATCTCCAATCCAAACACCATCTTAATGATCTTTAAAAGCCTCAGCAAGAACAGGGCACAGAGAGAAAGGACTCCCTAAGGAGACTGATTCTGTAGTACTTAACGCCGTCCCCTTCACAGTGAGTACTCAGCTTGAATATTTTATAAGCCTCTGTGAATGGGCAGATAGTTATGTATTTTTGTGATCACTTTTGATATTTTCTGGATATAAAATGTGGTTTAGGTAATGGACTCACATTTATAATGACAGATTAAAGGAATTCAAATTGCTGATAGATACTGCAGTGTTCCTGTAGCCAGCCACATTTCTGTGACTGTACTGCTTGCTTCAGTCTGTGCTTTCTGGAAAGGACTCTGGGAGTATAGAAAATAATCCCAAGGAGTGATGAGTGGGAGTCCATGACGTTAAAAAGCTTCTGCACAGCAAGAGAAACAGTGACCAGAGTGAAGGGAACACCCTACAGATGGGAAAGTATAGCTTTACCAATTACACGTCAGACGGGTTAATATTTAGGGTTTATGAAGACTAAAATTTGGTGCTGGGAAGACAGCTCACGGGTAAAGCACTGGCCATGGAAGCAGGACTTGCGTTTAGGCTCCCTGCACCACGAAAAGCCAGGCAGCAGGCAGCACAGCCCGTGACTGCAACCCCAGCCCTGGGAGGCCAGAGACCAGTGGATCTTGCGAGCACAATAGCCAATCGGCCTAGTCAAATCAATAAGCCCAGGTTCAGTGAGAAACCGTGTCTCAGACAAATGCACAGAATTTGTGTCTGTGAGGTGCCCGACCCTAAATGACACATCTGCCATGCAACTTCTACATCTGCGGCTCAAGGAACGTAGTGGACGAGGGGGAGAAAAGGTTAACGTATCTCTCAACTCTCACCAGCGAAGGT